AAGAGACTTGAGAACTCAAAAGGCGAGGCTCCCTGAGTCATTTATCCCTCTGCCCTTCAATTAACCCCACATGTGTTTATTGGCCAGATTGGCACAATAAACTACCTCACAGTGTCAGAAACCCACAGGGGCAGTTCCCACCCAATCCTATAGCACAGCTTTGAGTCGCAATCAACTTGATGGCAGTGAGGTTTTTTTGTTTTATTTTAGTTTCGTTTACATACAACAAATTAACCATTTGTATTCCAATAATGATGTGTGTACAGTAAAAGCCCTAAGTGAAGGAGAAGGCAGGGGAATGTGTATGTTATCTTCCCAACTGTTCTGTAAAGCTTTACTGTGTTCATTCCAAACTCAATCCCAAGATCTGGAGGTATGTATGTATTGATTTTCTCAATAGAGATTTTATCACTCATTTACTTGTACTCTGCTTATAGTGCATGAGGAGCCCTGGTGGCATAGTGGTTATGTGTTGGGCTGCTAACTGCAAGATTGGCAGTTCCAAACCACCAGCTCCCCCGAGGCTTTCTACTGCCGTAAAAAGTTACAGTCATGGAAACTCACAAGGGCAATTCTACTCTGTCCTAGAGTTGCTCTAAGTTGGCAGTGACTCAGTGGCAGTGAGTTTTTTTGGCTTTTAAAGTAGTATGTCATATCCTGTTTCACTCACAATGGATCCTAAAAAAGGGGGGGAAGGGTTTGCATGCAAGGGTCCTTTTCTTTCTTTCTTTCTTTCTTTTTCTGTGCAAGTATCTCTTGCTTCTTCCCTGGCCTTTTAAATACTGATGGTATTTTAAATACTTTTAAATGCTGATTATCTTTTCTTTCTTACGCATTATTTGTATTTTTATCTTTACATTATTATTTTATCCTTACTACTTTATTTTGTTTCTGTTTTTTATTGTCTCCATTGGGCTTTCCAGTTGTGAAGCACAGAGAAGTAGATGCATAGAGATAAGAACTGATGCCAGGGTTTGTAGGGGAGGGAGGGGTTGGGGTGGGAGACAGGGAGGGGAAGGGGGATGGGGGAGCAAACAATGTACGCGAGAGAGGGGAGCACTAAAACGGATTGTGATTTCACAACTCATTTTAGAAGTGATTTAACCATGGGGAAAACAGAAAAAGCTCTAAATTGATGGGAGTAATGCCTGGACAATTCTTTTTCATATGAGTGAACTATTGAATCATGTGATATGTGGATTGTGTGCCAATATAACTGTAGATAAAAAAGAATAAAAATGATGTGGCTCTTAACCATAATTCTTCTCCTTTGTTGTCTTCTAACTCAACCTTTATCATAGGCCAGCACAGACCTAGTCTTGGAAACCCTGGGCCAGATGGATGACTTAGAGGACTTCCTATCAAAAGACAAGCATGCAGACCCTAATTTCACCAAGAAGTTGTGGGCCTATCTCACAATCAACCAACTTCTGGCTGAACGGTAAGAAGAGCCCACCCCTGAGGGGTTTGCAAAAGTGAAATTTTTACTTAGAAAATTAGAAGTAAAAAAAGAAAGAAAGAAAATTAGAAGTAACACCCAACAAAGGTTTGCAACCAAGAAAGGTGGCAAACAAAAGGGAAAATATTGTATGATCTCACTAACATGAAATATGGAGAAGAGGTAAGTACATAAAGATAAACGCTTATGCCTGGCTACCAGGGGTGGGGATGGGAATTGTGGCTAAAGGGGTAGTGAATTTCTCTTTGGAGGACTAAAAAACCTTTTTAAATGGATAGGCCTGGTGGTAGCAAACATGGTGAGTCACTGAACTGAACAATGAAAAATAGTTCAAGTGGCAAACTGAAGAAGAAAGGTTACCAGGAAGGAAGGCCAGCAGGCAGGCAGCATGCTTTGGATTAATACTGTCCACTGGTTATTTTCCAAAGGTTACAACCCACTGTGTTATGCATTGGGCTGCTAACTGTAAGATCAGCAGTTCAAACCCACTAGCTGTTCTTTGAGAGAAAGATGAGGCTTTCTGTTCCCATAGAAATTTACAGCCTCAGAAACCCACAGAAGCAGTTCTACTCTGCCCTATAGGGTCTCTATGACTCAGTAGAGTTGAAAGTTGACAATCCACTGACAAGTTAAGCACAGTGGTTAAGGGATCAACTGCTCACTAAAAGTTCAGCTGTTCAAACCCACCAACCACTTTAAGAGAAAAATGTGATCTGCTTCCGCAAACATGTTCAACCTGAGAAACCTTGTGGGGCATTCTACTCTGTCTCAGAAGGTCACTCTAAGTCACAATCACATAGCAATGGGCTTTTGGGTTTTAGTTTATAAGTCACTTAAGTTGGGGTGAAGCTGGGCTCTCTCATGTTAATTAAGGAATAAAATATGTGAAATTCACTAATCTTAAGTGTGAAGTTTGATAAATTAGATAGGTAGATGATAGATAGATCAATTAGATAGATAGATAGATAGATAGATAGATAGATAGATAGATAGATAGATAGATTTTAAAAAACTCATTGCCTTGGAGGCAACGCTGACTCATAGAGACCCCTGTGGGTTTCTGAGACTATAACTGTTTATGGGAATAGAAAACCCCATCTTTCTCCCATGGGCCTACTAGTGGTTTCAAACTGCCAACCATGCAGATCCCAGCCCAATACGTAACCACTGCACTACACCTATCACAACACCACCAGAGAGAGAGAGAGAGAGAGAGAGAGAGAGATGATTTATTTATTTATTTATATGTTTTATTTATATATATATATAAAATCTCCCACGTAATCATCCCCCAGAGGCTCATATAGAGCATTTCTATCACCAGTGAAGGTTCCTTTGTGCCCCTTTCTCACTCAACACCTAGCCCTTCTCCCACAGTGAAAGCCACTAGTTCAATATCCATCACCAACAGTTACTGAGCGTCCTGCCATCGTACCATTGTATTCGTTTCTGGCTCCTTTTGCTCAGTAAGATGTCTGGGAGCTTCATCCATGCTCTGTGTTTTCCGGTAGCTCATGTATGTTGTTGGCCCTTGAAGACAGAACACTTAGCATTAGCATGATCCCAGAAGGAAAACGCTCACTAGAAGTCGCCTCTTTCATCTCTGCCTTCTCAGCTGAGCTGCATTTAAACCCTCCAGAACTAGAACGCTAAGCTGGAGGCAGGAATGACTCTGAGATCCCTGCATCAGAATTACTGGCTAATTTGATTTAAAGAATGACCATTGCACCTCACCCCCC